GGAATTTGATTGCATTTTTAATTAGCCATGGGTAGAAACATTTGCAATATATTTGTAAAATGTTGCTGCGGTCATCGTTTCATTTCATGAATAGCTTTTTCCAATGAAATATGTAGCAGGGACTGATTCTGTAATATCTCTACGAATTCTTCTGTAAGGAAAAACTACCAAGGGAGGTACTTTTTCTTTCCTAGGTACTTTAGAATATAAATCCTTATAATTTTTAAGTAATCACTTTATAAAAGGATGCCAGGGCTACTTCCCTCCTAAAGATTCTCTGAAGTTCTTAAAACCAGTATTTCGAATATTATTCTCTAAGGGAAGTTTTGCCTTTTGAAATTATCTTCGCATTGCACTGAGTTATCGGTGCATGTCGCCTTAAAAAGAACTTCACCCATTTTTCACCTGGATAATTGTCTTTAAATGGATTTTTCCTACCAGTTCCAGTCAGCAAATTAAACACCGCAATAAAATAATAATTTAGCTAATTATTGGCACGAAAGCCTGTAAAAAAAATTTCCATTCGAGTTTTTATTATTATATTTAGTTGTTATATTTAGTCAGTAAACATAGTTTATTAAGGTGTCTGAGGTATGATGTAATAACTAATCACTACATTTATAAAGATAAATAATAAATAAATTATTATTATAATTCTTTAAATAAATTTAGCAACTAAATTTGCATTTTGAAATGAAATTGTTATAGGAATTATTCATACAACCTTTAACTGAATTTTAGGTGTCCTCTATATCGCAGAACTACTAATTATCCATGTAAAATCATATTTTACACATACTGTTCATTCACTGGGAAATCTATTCCCAGTGAAGAAACATGCCTGTTCCTTCACTGGTAAGTAGTTGTTTTTTGTACTTTTAACATAATTTAGATGTATAATATGACTAAAAGTACAGGAAAATTAAAATTTTTCTTTTATTTTCATTAACTTGAAAAAATCCCAATAAAGGAAAACTTGTTTATTCATTGATTTTTCATCGTTTGGTAATCCAGTTAATAAGCACCCCTAATCCCAATACTCATATATAAAAAATACCTTTTCAAACAACTTCGAGTAGGACGGAAACGCTAACTTGTTTGAAATAGTAGTTCCTTGTAACTATTTAATTTCGATTCCTGGTGCTAGGGGACATTCTATTTTCACATTCCACTTTTGAAATTTCAATTGTAAACGGAATTTTTTTATGTCCTTAAATTAAAATGTTAAGACTTGCAGCAAAAAAAAAAAAATTGCACTGCATTGATTTTTTTACAAAGTAGTGAATTATTTTTTTCAATCTAAGAACCTGTGCCCATAACTTGTATAAAACTTATTTTAATATCGAGTGAAATAATTTATATGTTGTGTAACTAAATGGATTATCCCAAGAAACTGAATCGAAAATATAAAAACTTCATTGATTTAAAAAAATAATAGATGATAATAAAAATAGACATGTTTAGAGTGTCCAATAATAAAAGTCACAAGTTATTGAAGCCTGAAAAGTCTTGAGAATGGGCGATTATACTTGAACACTCGAAACATGTCGACTTTTACTTCTCTCTTCATACGTTTTGAAGCCAATTGAGTTTTTATCGTCAAGTATACTGTTTGGGTCTTGATCATTATTTTGATAAGGATTTTACACTCGTTAAAATAAACATATGCATTTTAATATTTTAACAGGATTCACGTGGTCTTTAAAAGAGTAAGAGCATCAATATTGTAAAAGTTAGATTTAACTTAAAAATTAAAATTTTGAGATCAGATATTTTGAGTTAATGAAATTAAATATTTTACCTTTTAAGTTTTTGTGCCCCCATTTCAGTATCTTAAGGATTTTACAATCTCTGTTTAACAAAAATAATCATAGTAACAGTATTTGGTGGTAAATGTAGCTTATCGTAATTGAAGAATATGCTGTGTGACATTTTATGGTGAATTTGCGAACGTAAGTTTCAGAATGTATCGATACATGAGGATGCTATTTGCTAATCATCTTTATTTATCTGAAGAAAACCATGTAACTTAAATATCTAGAAGAATGAAGCGATTTCTTAAACAATGAATCATACAATATGCAACATATTATTTCAATATCTTATTCTTAAACATAACATATTTCAAAGTTTTTAAAATGCCACTAAACATTCAGCAATTCCTTGAGTTATAGAAAAAAGAAATATCGTAAATTATAGAAAACCTTGTGAATGTGCATTAGAATTACTACACAATCTACATTTTATTTTTCAAGCACTTTTTTTCCTTCAAACTTTCTTGCCTAGAAAACTCGATTAAAGCTGTAAAAATGATTATCCCTAAAATTTCGTATATAGCTATAATAAGTTATGTTCATTTGATTTTAGTATGAAATCCTCGAATAAATATAGTAAAAACAGCATAATCAAAATAATATCAGATGAAAAGTTCATGTATTAAAATTCTAAAAACTATCATAAATAATTTATAAATCGCTTCAAATTTACTTTTCAAAGGAGATTAAGATAAATTTCTTTTTGCTTTTTGGACAGAAATCTCCTAAAAAATTGTTTATTTCCCAGAAACTAGATATTTTCTATTAACAATAAATTAAACCTCTCCGAGCAATCACAGAATATTATTTCAATTTTTTTACTAGCAACTTGTTTGCCTAGCAACCTAGTAAAATTAAGCATTCCTCTTTTGAATTAGTCAATGGGTTATCTTAAAATTTTCATTCGCACAAGTGACTTTTTTTGGCGGTTTTCTGGACTATCGCCAAATATATAAACATTTATTGCGGCCCAATTTACCACCCAATTTCTCTAAAATTTTGTCTACCCCCCTAATTTAAGTGTCTAGATTCCAAATATGTAAAAAAAATTATATGTTTATTCAGAGAAAGTTCGTTTTTGTGTCTGATTTCGTAACTTAATTAGTAGTTAGCACTAATTAATTAACATATTTAAGGTCACCCCCAGGAACCATTAAGATTGACACTTAGTTCGTGAAAATTCGATCATTAGAACGAAAGTTATTCAGGGTGATTCGTTTTTTTTTTTTTTTTTTTTTTTTTTTTTTTTTTTTTTTTGTGGACTGTACCTATTACGTTGAAAGGCTAAGGCTCCTACTATGATCTTCCTATAGTTCATGTCGAGCGTTACGGCAACCTAGTTGAAAGCAACTAGCGGTTTCGGTGAAGTTGAAACGTGTCATATGATGGTTGCCCGGTTGCTTTCAACCTGCTTTCAACTAGCAACTGAAGTTAAAACCTTTCAACTTTAGTGGAGCAACCAGATTAGTTAAAACGTGTCATATAGTAGTTTCCAAATACTTTCAACCTTAACTAGCAACCATTTAGTAAACAAAATACACGTGCTGATTCTGACGCATCCTGAATTTTTATCTCTTAAATTTGAACTTGGTTTAATCTTCTAACTATGACTAGTTTTAAATGGAATTCTAGTGATATATGTANATTAATTTTGATTTAAGGACACAATAAAGTTTTAAATGATAAGTTTTACAAACATATTTTTAATGTGAAATCGACGGGAATCGTACAATATCGTACACACAATTTCGATTTTCGCCAATATTGACAATGTCGGTCGATGTAAACTAAAGCTGTTACAATATCCCTGTGCTACTTGGGTATAGTAATATGATTAAATATTAAATAAGATTATTAAGATAGATTAAATATTTGAAAATTCAAAATTATATAGCTTGAACGCTAAGCTTTTTGAACCCATTTTGACAGATTTTGATAGATATTTCTTTGACAGATATTTCCGAGTACTAATGAAATTTTGAAAGCAAACGAAAGAAATTATTTTGCTTTTCAATCACCTTTTTTCTGTTCTAGTTCTTCTTTCAGAAACTCAGCTATCGGCTCAACGCCTACTTCAAGTACATCGTCAATAATCGCTTCCATGATAATTAAAAGAGTTGTTAGCAATAAACTTTATTGAAAAATATAAGTTCTGGTATTGAACTGTTATATACTACAATAGTCCAATACCAGTGCCGTTCTGGTATTGGACTATTCAGAGTTGGTTGAACAAGCGAAGGTTGTAACGTGTGATCACAAACGAGAAACCAAAAACCGGTTTCTTAACTTAGTTGCCTCCACTTGGTTGCCTAGTGTCATCAGCACTTAAGGAACTATGCTAATCAACAGAGCGCAGCCTTGCGGCAGCCTTTTTCACTCCATAAATGTTCCGACTAAATGCATAAGTAAAAGTTGAAGTAGTTTTTTTATTTTATTTTCTGTTATCATTTGGCGCGCAGTAGGAAATTTGTTTCAACTCTCATTTTCAGTTTCAGTTTTAATTTTTACGAACAAGTGCCTTTGGAGTAAAATATTAGTTATTGCAATTTCTTTTCTATCATTCCATAAGATTTTATAATTTATCTTAGGTCCCTTATTTTTCCACAATCAGGATGCCTCCAAAATCGGTATAAAAATAAGCTTTCTAATCATGTATTTGGTCTAATTACATTTTTATTAAAATTAATATCTATTTATTTGCGAATATTTTTTCTAGGCCCTGGTTTGTAATCAGAACATGTGCTTTAGTTAGGATCTTTGTTAAACTCGGTAACTTTTAAATTTGACTGCGTGATGTTTTATAATTGCATATCCGATCTTCAATTCATTAAATATTTTGGTACCTTTATTATGATATAATTGTATAGCATTGTTTAGTTGCATAATGAATATTTATGAAAAACGAAACTACATTATGTGATTGTTGGTCAGATGTCCATAATCGTAGCCTTTCTTTTGTCTCGATGGACAGTTGGATATCAATAAAAAGAAAAAAACTATTATGGCTCTTTTCTGATTTAAAAAATTAAGTAAAATGTGGAAAATAGAAGCATGGGAATTTTTTTTTTTTCATTTTTGGTACTTATCACAGATAAATTATGTTTGATACAATTATTGAAATCTGACTTAAAAAAATATTTTATTAATCTTTGAATCCAGAATAATTTATTAGGGATACTAGGGTTAATTCAAGTGTGGATATTTGTGATCTGTGGCAGGATAATTGCCAAGGCCTTGCATTGGCCTGCGAGAAAGTAAAAAACATTACAGTACGCGACCAATTTGAAGGGTATAACTAGTAGCCACCCTGGAGCAAATCCCAACATGTTTTATTTTTCCTGTTTGAAATTAATCTGGCACCTTGGTGAGTGTAGTTGGTGTGACAAATCACAATACAGAAATATCTCCTTCAAGTTTTATCTTATTTAATAAATGGGGGATATTTCCGTATTCTGATCTGCTGCGTCAACTACAATCGCCAAGGTGCCAAATAGATTTTATGCTTGGAATTTTGGATAACTTTCAGTATAGTGATCTACCATAAAATAATCGCTAAGTTTAATATTTTAGTGCATCTATAAAGATTTTATTAGGATTTATCAGATGATAAACTGAAATAATGTTACTAATACTGAGAGCTAGTCGAGTATCTTTTTTTATTGTTATTTATTATTTCATTTTAATCTAGGTACGTGGTCGTAAAAAGGTAACTACTATTGAGGTAATGCAAAATGGAAGTGAAACAAACATGAAATCTGAAGAAGTGAATAAAAATTATCAAAACCTGAATCATAATAATTTAAACAAATTGAGTGATAAAAAATCAAATGAAAATCATAATATTAATATACCTACAGAAGATAATAAATCTAATGGACATCTTCAGAATCTGAATGAATCTTCAGAAACTGTGGAAGAAACAGCTAATAGTTCTGATGGTTCTAAAGCTATAAGTGTTTTAGTTAGTAATAAGCTAATGGAAACAGAAAACGCAAAAGAAGTAACTAATGATGATATAGAAAATGACACTAATCTGAAAGGTAAAGTAGCTCCTCTGAAACGTGGTAGGAAGAAAGCTGATGTTCCTGCTGAAAATGTTCCAGTGGCTACTGAAACAATTGAATCAGTTCCTGTAGTTGATAAAAGTAACGAAAAATCTCTCGCAAAACAGAATCTTGAAATTGTTACTACTGAGTCATCTAAATCAAATACTTCTGGAAAAAGTAAATCTGAATTCATCAGTGATAAAGACAAAACAGAACCTGATAAAGTCGAGAGTTCTGATGATAAAAACGAAGTTGAAGAGAAAAAAGTTCCTTTGAAACGTGGCCGGCCAAAGAAAAATGGTAAAAATGCATCTGATAAAAAACTTCAAGCTAAAGAAGAAATTTCTTCCAAGCGTGGACAAGGAAAAGCTAATATGGAAAATATTAAGGAACCAGATGAAGATATTCAAAACGAACAGCTGCAGTCTGAACAAAAAGTTCCATCGAAGAGTGGGCAAGGAAAAGCCATTACTGAAAAGATTAAAGAAGAACCAGGTGAAGACATTCAGAACGAACAGCTGCAGGCTGAACAAAAAGTTCCATCGAAGCGTGGGCAAGGAAAAGCCATTACTGAGAAGATTAAAGAAGAACCAGGTGAAGATATTCAGAACGAACAGCTGCAGGCTGAACAAAAAGTTCCATCGAAGCGTGGGCAAAGAAAAGTCATTACTGAGAAGATTAAAGAAGAACCAGGTGAAGATATTCAGAACGAGCAGCTGCAGGCTGAACAAAAAGTTCCATCGAAGCGTGGGCAAAGAAAAGCCAATAATGACAAGATTAAAGAAGAATCAGTTGAAGACAATCAGAATCAACAACTCCAAGGTGATGAAAAAGCTCCATTGAAACGTACAAAAAAGAAAGCTAACCCATTAGAATCTGATAAATCTTCCGATTTAGAAAAAATTGATTTTGATGAAGAAGCATCTAAAGAAATACCTAGTGAAGAGCATCAAACTGGAGATAAAGTCCCATCCAAGCGTGGACGAAAGAAAGCAAATGTTCTATCATGCCATAAATCTTCTGGGTTAGAAAAAATGGAAGAAGAGTCAAGTGACGTAAATATTCCTAGCAAAGAATCAAACGTGCCTTCTAAACGTGGTAGGAGGAAAGCTAATCAAAAAGATACTGTTCAAGACTTCTGTAATAAAGAATCTAATGTAGATTCTAGTGAGCCTAGTCAAGATATGGTTAAAAAGGAAAATTCGAAAATTGATGTTAAAGATGAAAAACAAGAAGCTTCTTTGCAGGTGAAAAATCTTCCATCCATTGAGCGTAAAAGGAAAACCTCTGCAGAAGAAAAAAACAAACATGAAGCCAAAGTCTTAAAAGTGACACTTCAACGGGATGCAACTCTTGATAAAATGGTAAGTGAAGAACAAACAAAAGTGACCCAAAAAGGTGGAACCAAAAACATAAAATCTGGTGGTAAAAGATCGAAAGAAGGTGACTCCAAAGAGAGTGGTGAAAGATCCCCAAAAATGCCTAAGGGTGAACCCAAGTCCAAAGGCCAGTCTAAAAAAGACAAAATGCCTGATGTCACATTAATTGATTTTGGCAATAGTTCCACTTCTCCATCTGGAAAACCCTGGAACCTTAAAATATCATCTTGGAATGTAAACGGTATTAGAGCTTGGATAGAGGTAACTATCAAATTCAAATAGCAATTAAATTTTACATTTGATTTTTCTTATTCATTTTTTTTTAAATTCTATTTTTAGAAGAATGGTCTAGCCTATGTTACACATGAAAATCCTGATATTGTTACTTTTCAAGAAACTAAATGTTCTGAAAAAATGTTGCCAAAGGAGGTTAACGTTCCGAACTATCACTCATACTGGCTGGCTGGTGATAAAGACGGTTATTCTGGAGTTGGTTTATTGAGTAAGAAGAAGCCTGTTTCTGTCAACTATGGAATAGGTAGCTCTCCAAAATTTATTAAATCAGAATTTTCATTTCTTAGAATTTTATGTTTTCTAAAATATTTATTCCCTTTTATCATTTAGTCTGAAGCTGATGCATAATAATATGTGACCTTTTATCTGAGTAGTTAATTTAATAATGAAATTAATTGTTAATTAGTTATCTTATTACAAATCAGTTCTTTTCAGATTTTTTTTTTTTTTTTCAAGAGGAAAAAGCCAGCCTGCTGGATTCTTATTTATGTTTTTTCCTTTTTGGTTTAAATTTTATGGGCTTTATTTTTATATGATCTGAAAGCTGTTTTGGTATATAACAGGATATGTAAATAGTAAGAAGATCAAAAATAAAGTGTAAATGTTAAAATTTATATAAAATTTTGTTTTGAGAGAAATAGTTATAAAATCCGCAAAACTTATTTTTTATTTAACTGAAAAAGAATCATAGAATATTAAAATAAATTATCTTATAAATGTTCAATACATTTTATGTCAATAAAAATGTTGGTTAACAGATTTTGCTCTCAAACCAAATATAATGTAATGCATAAATTAATCTACCTTTGTAATTAATTTATAAACAATATATTTTTACTCCAACCATGTTTCTTTTTATCCATTAGGGGCAGAGAAAAAAGATTTCTACCATCATACCTTTTATCTGAAAATTATAGTTATCTTATTCTAATTTTAAATTGTTTAACTTTTTTACAGTATTATATTGTTAATTGCTGTGGCAAAACTGTCACATCAATTAACAATGCTGCTACCAGGGTTGGCAGGTTTTTGACAGTTTAAACCGTCACGTCAAAAACCTCACTTTCGAAAATGTCAAAAACCTATATTTATATGTGAAATTTAATTAATACATAAAATTTATATATTTTTTAAACGATAGTGTTTCTAAATATGTTCTAGAAAAAATAAATTTAAAATTTTGAAGAAACACTTATATTTTGAATAGTAACCAAAATCTTGTACTTTTGAAAACTCACATCTTTTGTAATATTATGTATTCATTTTCATGTGTTATTGAAAATCTGCAGTGATATTATTAAGAAATTTATTTATAACCAAATTTAGTGTATAGTATAGATTATACTAAAAATTAGACATTTTTAAAGATAAACATTAGCAGTTTTGTACATTAGACATCTTTTAAAGAAAAATCTTTTTAATATTCTTTTAAATCTTCTTAATAATCTTTTTAACATAAGACAATACAAATTTAAGTGCTTTCTGTTAAATACACAGAGTAGTTAGTGTCGATTTACAGTATATTCAGCCTATTCATTTACTATGCTGAAAATTTAGTTTATCCAAATACTTGTGAATTTCATTTTGCTGAATACTATATAGATTTGTTGAATATCTAAATATTCAGCTGTTGAATAATTACTTCTTGCTTTCAAGATATGCATTATTTGTATTCTTAATACAAGTGGAGAAAAAAAAATTAAGAGATAAAAATTGTTTTAAAATGATAAGTGTAATAATTATAAATAAATATAATAAACAATATGAATTATATTTATCATTATTCATAAATATAACTACTTTTAAATTCAAATTAACATACTGGATAATAAAGATATTCGGTATAACATTAAAAAAAATTTTTTATACACTTGTATCTTGTATCAAGTTTGTATTTATACAACATAACTTGTAAGTTCCTTATAAATATTAGTTATATGTTCCTTATATGTCAAAAATGCATAGTAATAAACTTTTAATTTTCTTAAGTATCAAAAAGAAAAAAAAAATTTTTTAAAATAAATATTTAAACAATTTTTGTGCAAAATTTTTCTGCACATGCATTTGAATATAAATTTCTGAGATTTTAAATCTGTTATTTTACCTTAATTTTAATTAAAAAATATTTTAAAACCTGCTGATTACCTATAGTATAATTAAATTTCAATATAATGCATGGCAACTGTTGGTAGTTTTGAAGTTTATATATTTTCTTGGCAAACTTCAGTTTTTGACATTTTTGATGGGTTTTTGACGATTTAAACCAGTATTATACCCTTGTCATGTCAAAAACCACTTTTTGATATCAAAAACCCAACCCTGGCTGCTACAAATAGCAAAACTGTTGTAGTTGCTTTTTTTTAGGGCAGTGTGCTACTTTTCCAACAAAAGTAGTTGGTTGCTATTTCTGTCAACTACTTTTACCATTATTTAAGAATAGGAACAAGGTTCAAACGAAAGTAATTTTGTGTATCGATTGATGCAAGTTTTTAAGCCCATCAACATTGCAATAAAAATAAGTCTGCTTTTAAATAAGCATTAGCAACAACCAGGAATTTGAAAATTAACAGTTTACCCCTATCGCAAACTTACAACAATGCTGTGGTAATATTTGTAACGTAAGGGTGCACAACCTTCTTGAGTGAAAGGCCACATGCACAGCAGATTTGACTGATGAAAGCTCGCATGTGAATGTATTTAAAATTAAAGACAGCAAAAATAATTATTTAAAAAAAAAATACATTTTATTATCAGCAAAAATTTAGATGAATTGAAATAAATATGAACAATGAGAAACATCATGGTTTTCTTTTATCACATTACATAATACAAAAGTCTGTTTTAGCATAGATTCTAACAAAAAACTTAAATGTTCATGTAATTAAATTTTTAAAAAAAGTAAATAAATATTCTTGTGAGCAAATATTTGAAAGCTAACTACTTTATTTTAAGGAAAGTTTGTGGAGTTTAAAATGCTTAATTGAAACAAAACCCTTAAAGTGCAAAATAAAATTTAGCATTTATTTTAAATAGATTGTAAGGTTTTACAAATCTTAACTATTTTTTGAAGGACAGAAGAAAAATTTAAACAATCAAATTTTTCAGTTTATAATACTGTGTTAAAGTATCGGAATATTCAAAATCACATGGTAAAATGTAGCAATAACTGCCAAAAAAAAAACTTTAGAAAAACCTCTTAAATTTATGTTATAATCAGAATAAACAAGCATGTCATAAAATGTTGTTTTTCTCCCCCTTAAAAAAAGTTTTGCTTGTTTAGAAATTTAAGTGTCATAATAGTGTATTAAAAACAATCAGGACTCTTTCATTCAGGTAGAAAAGCTCAGTAATAACTGCGAAAAACGATCAAAAATCAATTTGTATTTTAGATGAAATCAGCACAAGTAAAGCTCGCCAAAAAATATGTATTTAAATTATAGGTTCGAATTTAAAGAGTGGCAATAGTGTATTAAAATACTAAACCTTTAAAAATGTAAACTTTCTGAACCTTGTTGAAATAGGTAGCAATAATTGCCAAAAGAACGACTGTAAAATAATTTATGTTTGCGATAAAATTGGCACAAGTAGACCACATCAAAAAGTGGTTATCGAAATGAGCAATTTGATACTCGCACTTCCTAATAATGTGCTAAAAATATCTCAATTTTATAAACCTCCTAGGAATGCTTAGGATCAGAGGTCATTTGAATTTCTTGCAAATCAATCATATCAAAACGTGTTTATTTAAATTCTCCACTCAAAACTCTAAAAATGTATTTTTAAAAAATCACGAATTTGGAAACTACGTGGAAATTCGTTGCAATTAACTTCCAATAAAAAGATCAGATAGCATTTACAATGAAATCGACACATATGAAAATCGTCAGAAATTTGAAACCCTGTATAGTATTAATGCCTTACTATTAAATATATTGAGATTTTTAAAACTATGGGTAAATCCATTGCATTAACCATCAAAAACTATGTTGATTGAGAATAGACATGACAATACTTAAATGTGAACTGTAATTGTTTTCCTGCTCTATAAATTGTCACTGATTTTATAGTAGATAGTCTCGTCTAATGTAATAAAACCTTTTATTTCACCTTCAAATCTTTCTCTTTCATACTTGAAAGCATAATTTAATTATGAAATATTACTTTTGATTTTAAAACATCTCTTCGGTTTACTCAAAACCACAAAGTTAGATGTATACAATTTTGTGTTCTGCTTAGAAAAATTAAGTCATATTTGAATGATTAATTAGCTTATTTGTTTTATAGAATGTTCTTTGTTGTTAAACAAGATATTTTTGTTCTATGGAAATGTCATTATCTTTAAAAAAATCTTTGTTTGTCAACACCGATTTTGGCTCATTCAAAATAAGATCAACATTATGATCATCCTATCCACTCATCTTTGTATTATCAGTAGTTGCAGCTGTACTTAAAATTTATATAAAACTCAGTTAAATTGGGGTGCATGAAAACGAAAGTAGTTTTCTAGAAAACTCACCTTTAAAATGTAGTTGTGTAATTACTACATTTAAAAAGTAGTTTTTAAAGGTGGCAGCAGGAGAGATTAAATCCCTTTGCAGGATATCCGCGCACCTGGAAAGTCATGAATTTCAGTATTGAACAAAATTTGTCATGAAATGTCATAGTTTTAACTACCTATTTTTAGTTTTAACTATTTTTTAAAGAAAATCATGGATTTAGGTCGCTGAAAAATCTAATTTTTAAAATGGAATCTAAAAATAACCCCTCCCCAGGGTTGCCACAGGCTACTAAAATGCTACTATTTTCGGCCTTAGGCGACTATGGCGACTTTTTTTGCCTGAAAAGGCTAAAAAAAGCAACTATTTTCAGGAATAGGCGACTATTGGGAGACCTACTGTTACTTTGCGATTGCTGCACAATCGCTGTTATCTTAAACTTTCACTCTGAACTCAATAGATCAGTGAAAAGAAAATATAAATTAAAAAAGTTTCTTCATACGTTTTTTTTTTCAATTATTATTTTTCATTTTAAGCGATACAATTTAATAGGGGTATTTTGTACTTAATTTTGTTATAAAAAGTTAGTTTTTTTCTAATTTATTTAATGTAAGTAGGTATAATAATTTGATTATTTTTAAACCAGTAAATGTTTCGTTGTTTTTATTTATAAAAAATTTAAAATAAAGCTTACCTTTATTTAAATTGCTTTTATTTTTGAGAAAATGAAAAGAAAGTTTTGAAAAAATTTGGTTAACTGATTAGTTTGGCAGATTTTAAAAACAAAGATTTTTTTTAA